CATCAGCTCCTCCTTCCCTCGGTTTTGCTCCCAAACCTCCTTCTTTGCCCCCAGAGTAAACCTGCTCATGGGGGCTCTGCACGGCCCCACCTGCCTCTACTCGCCTGTGACCTTAGGAAGGTGAGTCCACCTCTCCAGCCTCAGGTCCTTCAATGGTGGAATAAGACCACTTCAGGCCCTGGCTGGTGTGGCTCAGCGGATTGTGCGCCAGCCTGTGAACCGAAAGCACGCAGGTTCCATTCCCAGTCAGGGTACATGCCTGGGTTGCAGGCCAGGTCCCCAGCTGGGGGCATGTGAGAGGCAACTGATTGATGTTTCTCTCACACATCAATGTTTCTCCCTTCCTTTTTCCTCCCTTCTCCTTTCTCTAAAAATAAATAAAATATCTTTTTTATAAAAGGATAATTTGGGCTGTACATCAATTAATATACACAAAGCACACAGGTTCTGTATTTGCCAGTGTCACTCGTGATGAAGAAGAGGTGGGGACCTGAGGCCGGTCAGGAGGGTCAGGCTTCATGCTGGGGGGTCGCGCAGGAGGTGACTGAGGCAGGGGAGGCCAGCTGCATCTCCACTCTGTGCTTGGAAGAGGAGTGTTAGGTTAACTGCCTGCAGTGATTCATCCCCACTCCCTAGAGCTATTTCCTTGCTTCTCACACACTCGGGGAAGCTGGCCTGGCCACACAGCATGCCAGTTTGTGCTTCTGAGATTCAACCAACGTGCTGCATGATGCTGGGCAACTCACCTGCGCTCTCTGAAATCCCTTCCCCAGCTGCAGAGGCCTCGTGCAGCTCTGACCTCTTAGGGAGTTAACTGGTCTGCCCTAGTCCAAGCCTCACTCCTGCCTGAGCCCCCCCCCCCCCAGGCAAACAGGTTCCCAGCTCTCAAGGTGGGGACAGAGCCTGAGATGCAGAGGGGAGGCTCCCAGTGCCGGTGCTGGCTCAGAAGCCTTGAGTACCCACCTGGGGCCAGTGAAAGATGGCCAGAGCTAAACTCAGGTGACAGTGCTGCCCTTCACCTCTGACCTAGGAGGCAGAGGGAGTTCTATTCCTTGAAAACCATCACGTTAATGGTTTTCTTCACACACACAGAATTTATTGAATGAACGAATGAATGAACAAATACGGGAAATAATACAGAACACTGGGCAAAATAGGGCTCTTGTTTCACTCAGGTCAAAATCTGATCCCAACTTGGCCTCTTCTGGCTCTGTGGCCTCAGGCAAGCCTCTCAACTCCTCTGAACTGTGGTCTCGCCATATATTAAATAGGGCTGACTGTCCACAGGCCGAGAGAGGGCTGCAAGGTTACGTGAGGTAGCCCGTGGAAATGTTTGGCACATGGCACAACGGAGGTATCCAACAACCGCAATTATTATCAGTACCGTTATTACCAGACTGCGGTTCCCATGGTAAGGCAGAGGATAGAGGCTGCCAGCCTTGTCTGGTGCCCATTTCCAAGGAGCTCTGACTACTGCACAGGCATGTAGTAACGGAAGTCCTCCCACCCCGTACCTTCCAGCCGGTGAGGGGCAGGAGTGTGGCCAGCTGGCTTTCCAGGGGCCGAACAAGGAGCGAGCAATAACCCTCCCCGGACTGGGCCCGGAAGCGGCCAGGCCTCTGGTCTTTGTCAAGCAGCTGGAGCATGAGCCGCACTGTCTGCCCGTGAAATGCGACTTTTGGAAAACATGCATATTGGTGGGTCTATTTCGGGCCAACACTGCTCTTTATTTATTTTCCCCAGGCTTCGTGTCTGGAGCCCGGCTAAGAGGGGTGTTTTGACAGACTTTGACACCCCTCCTCTGGCAGAGGTGCACGCGGGTGGGGGAGGGCAGGCAGGGAGAGGAAGATCTCAAAACGGCAGGCCTTCTTCCTCGGCCCGGGACTGACGGACAACCAGACACCCCTTCCTCACCACCCCAGACTTCTGTCTCCCCCTGTTTGGGAGTGGGGGAAACAATTTCAAAGAGGGGGAAGGGAACCAAAGAGGCCAATCCTTGAACTCCCCGTGATGGCAACACCAATAACGCTATTATCGACCACAGCTGCCACCACTACCATTTCTGGGTGGCTATTTTATGACTCTCAGGGGGCTGGCTGTTTGCCCATAGGGAAACCACCTCAGCCTTCAGCATCTCACTTTGCTCACCTGCAAAGGTGATTTTTGCAGTGCCCAGCTCATGGGGCCGTGAGAAGTGGCTGCCTAGACAAATGGTAGACTGTCTTCTCTCCCAGCCTCTGCTCCTGGCCAGCTGCCTGTGGACAGCCTACTTTCGAGTCTTAGGGGCCTGGGGCTGGCTGCCAAGCCCCTAGCCACTGGGCAGGGCCTCCAAAGCTGCTCCCGGCTAGTCCCTTCTCCGTGGTCATTTACAGTCAGAGGTGGCCTTAAGGGAGGAAGAGTCTAGACAACTTCATCTGCCTTTGAACAACCAGGCGAGTGGATGGAAATGGGGAGACAAGGAAACGTGTCTAAGCTATAGAGAAAGGGGCTTAAACCATGATCCCGAGGCTCTGGGGATCACGAGATACAGGTTTAAGACTCCATCCATCCATCCATCCATCCATTCACTTACCAAGCACCCACAGCAAATCGAGTGGTTCATACAGAGGACATACTGACAGTAGAATCAAAGCCTGCCCCAATAGAGACTGCATTTCAGCTGTGTGACCTCAAGAAAATTACTTGACATCTCCGGTCCTATAAAGGAAATCATCTGATCATCCTTTGTTCGGGGAACAGGACGACTTCACTGGTGGTGGGTGCTCTAAGGGGAAAGGTACCATACCTCTGGGGTTAGAACCTTGATTACCAATCCCCCACCCCACACACTCAGGGGATTCATGAGAGTCAAGGTCGCACATTGTTAGGGCCAGCAAGAGACTCCAAAGGTCACCTCGACCAGCTCTGTTCTTGTACAGACCGGATGCCTGAGGCTCAGAGAAGGAAATTCACACAAGGACACAGGCGGCCTGTGGCCAAGCTGAGACTAGGTCTCGGGTCTCCCCAGGAGCACTCCAGAGCTCCTTCCACGCTGGGACTCTTCCTCCCTCAACCTAACTTCTCAATTTTAAGGCAACAGCAGGAGAGGTGGCAAAGGGCAAGCCAGGGCATGGGTACCAGATCCATCAAGCAGCCAGATCTCCGGGGAAGTGGGAGTGGAATGAATCACTTGCTGTGGAGTCCTGGCCCCCTGGGGATACTGTGGGTACTCTGGTGCATCTAGCTCTGGAATATTCCTGGGGAGGGGGCAGAAGTTGCTGATGCCATGGGAGGAAAGTGGGGGTGTCAGACTTCCAAAGGGGGAAGTAGGGGCTCAGAATCAGCCAGGAGAGTGGAGCCAGCTTCCCTCTTAGAGCTCTCTCTGTGCCCACACGGGAGCAGCCCAACCGAAGGAAAGTTGGAGAGTGAATGTGGCTGGGAAGGAGCGTTGGAAAAGGCGGGGGTAGGAGGGGTAGGGGAGTAAAAGATAAACACAGGGGAGGTGAACAGAGCAGGGGAGCAAAGACACAGGAAGTATAAGCAAGGAATGATGCAGAGAGAGAGGGGAGTAAGGTCTAAACAAGGAGAGCTCTGCAAAATGGACTCTGAGCCTAAACCCAGATTCGGCAAGGCTGGGCTTCTGTCTGCAGCTTCCACGGGACCAGAACCTCCCCCTCCATTTGGCAAATGCCCTGGTTCCTGCCCAGGTCTGTACTGGGGTGAGGAGAGGGTGTGCTCTGCCACCCTCTGCTTTTCTGGAAGGAGTAGGACAGTTTGTGTGTGTGTGTGTGGGGGGGGGGTGCACAAAGCCCAGCGGGCATTGTGAGTCACTGGGTGTCCCTGTGAGCGCCTGGAGCTAATCTGGGGTGTATTTGGTGTCTGGAGACAGCAGGACCTGGAGTGAGGATGCTGCTTGGATGGCTGGTGCTGGGGGGGTGGGGGTGGGGGGTGGGGGGTGCTGTCCTGGTCCACGTGCATGTGAATCTTCCCCTCTGCATGGACTGTGTGGACTGTGGGTGGATGCATATTTGCGTGATTGGACTATGCGGGTGGTCCATAGATCTCCGTGAGTGTGCAAGTGGGTTTGTGGGGGCTGAGTGTCCGAGGCTGCCCAGGGCGCCGTTAGCAGTGCTGACCCAGGCCACAGAGGGAGGTGGTTGGCACCCAGCTTCTCGAGGGACTTGGGGAGCTGGTGTCGTCTTCTACAGCAGAGAGGGGCACATGAAAGGAAGCCTCCCGGGAGGCGCCCTCTTGGCTCAGCTGTGGGCCCTGCCCCCCTTCCCTCTAGGGGAGTTGGAAAAGTTCTCCCAGAGGCAGGGTTGACTCATGGGACTTGGCACCACTCGCTTCAGAAATCCTCTAGATCCTCAGTGCCGCCCCTGCTCGGCTGCCGTCCCCCACACCCCACTCTCGTTTTCTGCAGGGCCCAGGACCCTCTGGCAGTCGGCTCCCATCGCCCGCGCGGTCTACCCCAGAGCTCTGTGAGCCCAGTTGACTTGCAGCCAGGTTAATTGGGCTCCAGCACTTGAGAAATGTCCCGCTGACAGCATAAGAGCGCTAAGATGGGAAAGGAAATGGAAGGAGACGAGGTCATTAACCTTTTTCTGTCCCCTCCCTCTGCTGTAGCCCGGCAAAGAGCTGGGTCCAGGGCGGGTTCAGACTGACGCTCAACTTTTATGGAATCAGTCATCCACCCGCCGGGAGGAGCAGGGGGCCAGAGGTCGGAACCCTCTCGGTTTCTGGGCATCAAACTGGCCCGTGCAGACCGAGGCTGCTTGGGCCCGCTGGGAGTTGGTGCGGAGCTGGGGACTGGCCATGGGAGGCAAGCTCTGCGCTCTGCCCACCACCAGCCGGTTTTCCCAGGGTGGTGGGTTCCGAGGCCCGCATCCTGGGCTGGCTGGAGAACTTCACACACCGCCCTGAGAGGCTGGGGTGGTGACAGCGAGGACCTGCCCCGCTCCTCCGGGCAATGCATCCCCCGAGCCCAGACCCCGATTCCTCCCAGCCGCCGTCGCACTCACCTCGGCTGGCCAAGCTGCGCTGGCTGAGCCGTGGGCACGGGAGGGAGGCGCGCCAGAGGGCCCGGGGACTGCGGCCACCTAGCCGTGTGGACTTGTCTGTCCCCTCACGGGAGCCGCAGGGAAAAGCTCTTCAAAGCTGCAGGAGCCCGGGGTTTCCCGCTCCGCTCTAAAGCGCACAGACCGTGCACGCCTTGGTGCGGATTTTGGTTCTCAACGCGCAACCCGGAGCACTCCGCGCGCCGCCTTTTATTCGCCGCCCGCCTTTGTTTGGGTCCCGGCTTCTACCACAGGACGTAGGGGTGTCCGGGCAGGCTCTGAAGCCGCGCCCCACCCCCAGCCACTGGCGCCTCCGGCCTCTGTGCTGTCGGTTCTTCCACCAGTGGTCGGAGAGGACACGAGCTCCGCCGCACACTGCTGTCTCCGGAGTCCGCCACCAGGCGCCGCCGTGGCTGCCGCTCCCCCTGCGGGAGCCGTGCGGTGGTACAACCGGGCTCCCACTGCCCGCTGGCTGGGGCTGCAAGCGGTGTAGCGACCCCTGGGGGGCAGCTCCCGCCTCTGCAAAGGGCTCAGGCCTGGCCACCTGCCCCTTCTCCTGAGCATCCTGGGTTCCTCTCCCAGTCCACCCGGCCTTGGCAGGCCACCAGCCTCCTGGACATTTGAGGGCATCCCCGGGTCTCCTCCGGAGGGAGCTGCCAAGTCCAAGTCCCTGGCATCGGCCCTTCCTCCTTATTTCTCCATTCACCTCTTGGCACCAGAGCCCAGAACCATGCCAGCCCCTGGGACCCAGCATCTCTCCAGCGGTAGCACATGGACGGCCTGATACCCCTGGCTCTAGGAGCACAGGAGAAGAAGCCCGGAGCCATGGCCAGTGCCTGGCCCATTTCTCTCCCTCAGGGCTCTGAGGGCATTGGCACTGGTGTTACTCAGGAGGGCCAAGGGGGCGCCTCTAAAGAGGCCCAGCTACCCGCTCCCCCTCTCCAGCTGAAGGACCGAGGAAAACCAGAAAGAGGGAGGCCACCGCCATTGTTAAGCCAGGAGCGCATCATACATCAGCAGGGTGTGTGCTGAGGGAGGACCAGGGCAGACCTAGAGAGATGGGTGAACCACAGAACCTTCCCTTAGGACGTGCCCAGCTTACGGGAGAAATGAGAACAGGAGGGAGTTCTCAAAGGAAATTCCAAGGCCCATCCCACAGACAGATGCTCAGCCTGCGTCAGTTTCCCCAGCCCTTCCTTTCAGAGAAGGAAACACTGAGTCGGGGGCACCTCACGCCTCGAAGTGTGCGTGGAGCTCCTGCCGTCTCTCCCTGCGGTGCAGTCCCCGTGAGCCACCCCACTGGCTGGCTGGCTGCTGGACACAGTGGCATGTGTGACCCTGGAAGCCTGGAGAGCTCATCTGTGCAGAAGCAAATGGCCTGAGCGAGGGTCCCCGCCCCAGCACTCACACCCCCTGTGCTCGGCGTCATTAGCGGAGCCATTGCCAGGCTGGACAAGTCTGTCAGGGGACTCTGGCAGCTCCAGATGGCCTGCTGAACACTAGGGCTGGGGACAGCTGGAGGCATGAAGGGTGCCACCCTGAGTTTCGAGGGTGGAGAGAGACAGGAGACCTCACCCAGGAGCTGCAGAGTTGCTGCCCCAAGATCAGAGGCCAGATCTGACATCTGAGGACAGAGGCACAGACCCAGCACCACCCCACACACTCCCTGTCCCCTCTCGTCATACCCCAGAGGGAAGGCAGAGAATGTGCAGCCATGGGAGGAGAGGGGTAAGAAAAACAGGAAAAGATCTGTTTTTCAGGGAGCAGTCAAGGAGACACGGAATGTATTTCCAAACCCGGTTGGGAGCAAAGGGTTTTGTTCGCTGGGGGAAAGGCCTACTCTTTTCAGTTGGTGTCAAGGCTGCTTCCACGGCCTCCTCGAAGTTCTCCAAGGCTCCTGCACTGCTCTTTTCAGTCTGACAAAGCCACAGCGAGTGCCATCCTCTGCTCACATCTGGGGACACCCCCCACTCCCCTGGGAAGCAGTTTTAGTGGATTGGGACCCCAGCTTCATGCTGCCCAGCTGGCCATAGATGTGGCCACCTTTGCTGCACCCTCCCCAGCACCTCTCTGGCCTCCTGGGACCTTCGGATGATCTCCCATGGAGGCTGGGCTTGCTCTGCCCTTGATGGGGGACCTCCTGGGAATGGAGGGTATACAGGCGGAGGCCCAGTGGAGTGGGGGAGGAGGGAAGGAGTGTGGTACCCGGGAACACTGGAAAAATGCAATTTTCCCAGGCCATCAGCTAGGTTTTAAAAATGCAAATAGAACCGGGCCTTTGAAATATGCCTTCCATAAAGTGGAACCGGTGGTGGCAGCGGGAGCCAGCGCGGGTATGGAAAGTCATGAGACTCCGCACCCAGGGCGGCAACCTCCCTTCCCTCCACATGCACTCTGCCGGCAGGACGTCTGTTTACGGGGGGGGGGGGTGCGGGAATGCGGGACCTGGAGATCCCTGCCCAACCTGGGGGCGCCCTGCCCGAAGCCTCCTTTACCTCCAGGTGTTAAAGATGACTCCAGTGGCCAAAAGATCTGCCCAGCTCAAAGGCTGAAGAAAATAAGATTCTACATCCCCTCCGAGACCCCACTCCAGAGCCTCTGGTCGAAGTTCTTCCTAGGTCTGATTTAAATGCCTCTTGGTGCCAATAGGCGGCTTCCCCTGTACTCTGTCTTCACAACTAATTGAAAAGCCTTCTCTTGCAGAGGGTTTGAGCTATAAAGGGCTGCTTTGTCCCCAGCTCCCATGCCTTTATTACTATTTCTGTTTTCTCTCTGATCGTGTCTGAAGCAGAGCCTCTGGGCTCAGCATGGATCCCACCACTCCCACCAAAGCCACGTCTCTCCTCCGTCCCTTACAACGGAGCGGTGTGGCCTTGAGAAAGTGGCATCACCTGGCTGGGCCCCAGTCATCTCCCCTATAAAATGGGGATGGTAACAGCACCTGTCTCGTAGCGGTGGTTATGAAGAGTTTAGTGAATGAGATCATCTCAGCGCGAAAATTGCCTTCAGCACAGTGCATGGCACAAACCAAGCTCTCGGTGTATACGAGCTCCTTCTCCTCTTCTTTCTTTTCTTCTTACCTGCTGGGCACAATGTAGCGGTGACCATAACACCTCTCACTCCTTAACCCCAGCCTGGTGAGGTGGGTGGCATACAAATCAAGTCCTCCCAGCAGATGGCTGAGCAGCAGAGGAGAAGAGTATATGGGGAAGGCTGGGGCGTTTCTCCTAAAATACAGTGGGTTGAGACAGTTTCTCTGTTGTCCTAGCATCAGGGAACAGAGTAATGACATGTGTAAGTGACTCCCTCTTCTGCTGCGCACCGACTTTGCAACTCTCGGCCCCAGCCTCAAGCCACACCCCCTCCAGGAAGCCAGTGAACTCAGGTGTGCTGGAAAGGGCTTTAGATTTACAAGACGGAGTCTGATTTTCCTACGTGTCTTTTATGAACGGTAAGACCTCAGTCAAGTGGCTTCCTTTCTATGAGACTCAGTTTCCCCAACTGCAAAATGGGAGTATAATGACCTCTGCTTGTACTTGGCCTGCAGCTGTATTGCAGCTGAGGTGAAGCACAGATATATAGGTGATAATTAGTCACATATTTATGGTGATATATGTACAGTTATACAGTTATAGTTACACAAAATTGGAGAGATTATGATAGAGTGATCAGTCCCTGTTTCCTTGACTTTCAGGGTTGACTGCACTTCTTGTGATATAATAGATGCAAAAGAGCTCAGGAAACTTGCCCAAGTTTCGTGGTGAATGGATTCCTGACTCAAGGTCATGTAGCAAGTTAGTGGAAGGGCTTGAGTAGGACCCAGGTCTCTTGGGCTTCAGTCCTGAGCTTTTCTCAAGCCACTGTCGCTCCTCTTACCAGCTCCGTTCTCATGGCACTTTGTTCAGGGGACATGTGAGAGTTTAAGGGGAAAGAGGATGAAGAAGGGGGACAATAACTCAAGAGATGAGAACTAGAGGTCTGGACAAAGGTGATGGGACAGGCAGGCATGGGTGCTGCAGACGGGGCCTGGGGGAGGCCGAACAGATGGCAACCCTTCCCTCCTGCCTCCCCCGGAATCCTGCAGGCAGCCGGGCCTCGCGCTCCTTTCCCAGCCTTGCCTGCCTCCTCCAAGGAAGCAGGCAGCCTGCACCAGAGTGAACACAGTCCAAGTTATTAATTGCCTGCAACAATTAGCCCCAGTGCCTGGGCCTGCCGAAGCCCTGGCTCTGGAAGAGGCAGCCAATTACAGCTTCATCAATATTCACACTGCCACATATTCCTCTCCCAACCAGAGGGACCCCTCATCTGTCATCTGTGTGTTTAGGGGCATTGCTTTAACCCCAACATCTGGAGAAGACCAAGTGTTGCCGAGGCCTTCAAGAGTGAAAATCAATGAGGGGTTAGACCCCAAGGGGACTTGCAGAGAGCAGGGCCAAAGTGCCGGCCAGGAAGAGCAGGACCCTATCAAAGATCTGGACAGTGCGGCATTAGCCAGAGGCTGTCCCATTGTGGGGAAGACGGGGTAATCTCCAGGTTAAGGGTTTTAAAGTAGATTCTCTGAGGGTCTTATTATTAGGACTGGCCTGTGAGACAGAGGTCAGAAACATCCCGTAAGGTCTGGTTTTATTCTTGGCTCAGTCACGTATTAGCTTTGTGGCCTTGGGAAACCCCTTCACAGGAAAACCTGTAAACTGGGTACAGGGACCACCTTCCCCGAGGAGGAAGGTGCTTTGCAGAAGCACAGCAGGTGGCATGGACAGAGCTGGAAATAAATGCTAGTAGCTCTTGTGTTCTCTACGAAAAGAGCCCTGGAAGGAGAGTCCATGCTGCCTGTGGCCCCTTTCCCTCGGCGGGGGTGTGGCAGTGTGGGGCGGTGGGGACTGAGGCAGAGGGGAAGTCGGGGGGCCTGGAGGATGGCTCTGGTTTGCTCTGCCTTACTCTGTGGTCTCAGCACCCTGCCCACCCTGGCTTCTTGTTCTTACTTGACACGTGAGGACATGAGGGTACCAATCCAGCCACAATCTCTCAGGAGAGAAGAGGGAATGAGTTTAGAATAGGAAGAAGGCCATGGGAAGGTGGAGTTCCCAATTTTCCAAAGGGATGCGTGGCAGTTGAGGGAATTGTTAGGAAACATCAAAAGAACATGAAACTAGTTACTACATGAA